ATATATATATATGTTTATATTTGTATGTGTGTGTGTATTATATATGGATATGTGTATAAAGTGAGAAGGAATATAATAACTAATTAGTCCATACAGCAGTACAGAGGGCTCAGCATCACTCACTTTTGTGCAACAGTTAATATACTGAAGGTCCTTCAACTCATGCAGGCTGCTAGTCCGAGGTCAAGGAAGCAAACATCGGAATCTGCCCTCAGCAAGACAGACAGGGTTAGCCCACAGGCAGCAGATGGCAGGGTGTGGCAGCAACAGCCAGTAGCTGGAGTGTAATGGAGCAGGTCTTGAAGGAGCTTCAAGCTCCAGTGATTCACACTAAGGCTACAGGATCCAAGGGTTGGCTTGACCCACAGGTAGTGCAACACAGGGTTGAGGCAAAGGATTAGCTCAAGCAGCAGCACACTGGTTCAGTCAACCAGGGAGGAAGAGAGAAGGAGGCTGGCCTCAGAAAGCATTTATCTTGGTTGCTCTCGCCCTCTAATCAAGCTGCGACTGGATTAAACTCCTTCCACATGTCCCTACAGGAGCCTAGTTAGCACAAGAAACCTAACTATCACATTGTGACTCCCCAGAAAGAAAGAAAAATGGAGTAAAAATATGGGTAAATACCATAGATTTTACTTCTTCTCTTGAGTTTTCTAAATTATACTTGATGGTGGAACAAAAAATTTAACACTGATGCAATGTTCAATATGTATAGAGAAATTAGACTATGATAATTGTAATATATAAATAATATGATACAATACTAAGAACCACAATTTAAAAATCTATATGAGAGATGTATATTCTTAAAAATTGTATAGAAAAATCAAAATGGATGTATAAAAATGCTGAAGTCCTTCATAGGTAAGTAGGAAATGCACAATATGATCAAAATTAGGTATGACATCGTAACTATTAATATATCTAAAATAAAATGAAAAATCATGGCATTACTAAATCTAGGTGAGGGTGCTGAGAAGTTGCATTCCTCATACACAGCAGGTAGGAATGAAAAATGCTACAACCAGCCGGAAAACTGTTGGGAAATGTGCATGTGTGTGTGTTTTAAATAATAAATAATTACTTATGCAGCTCAATATCACATTTTCGGGCATTTATCCTACCAAAAGGAAACATATTAGCAGTTTCATAGAAGCTATATTATTTTTATTAGCATTAGCTTGACACATTGGCAGTGGGCTAAGAGGTAGAGATGGCTCAGAACAGGCACTCTCTCCTTCTATTGTACATGGGGTAAGATGGAATGGGGTATGCAAATGGTCATATAGTGTTTATTCTCACGCTGAAGAAATGTCATGTAGTTTCTTGAATGAAAAGTTTATGAGGAGTCTATAATATGAAGCTGTAATAAACTTGTTTATTGTCATATCTATTACATGCTAGCATTGCCCTGTGAGCCTTGGGCTGTTTGTTATCCATGAGATGAGTGGTTCAAATCCACTATTGAGCTTGTTCTCTTTAGCAGTATACAGTGTTATTTTTCTAACAGTATGGTTTTAAAACCCCCGTTTAGAAGGTGTTTTGACGTTTGTTTGTTTGCTTTGGGAAGCTTTTGAGCCCGCCAATCACTGCGACTTATGCTCAGAATCTCTTTATGTTTCGTATCTTCAGGATGAGTTCTCATTTCTTCCTTCTGGAACTCAGTTTCCCTTGATATCAGCCTCCCTCTACCTCCTCTCTCCTTGATATCAGCCTCCCTCTACCTCCTCTCTCCCCCACTGTACCGCCAGGGCTAGGAAACCTTACTCTATTTGCTGTCCCAATCAGTTCATCAATCCTGGGTTTCCTATACTGAAAATTAGAAAAACATAACAAAAATTCAAGGGGGCTACCCACAATGACAAAATACATCAGAGATAAAGCCCAATACGACAACAAACAAACAAACAATCCCACAGAAAATGTTGGAAACTAGATCAGGCCCAATGTGTATCAGAGGGGGGAATGAAGTAACAAGCTTTTAACTGTTTGAGTCAGGTTTATCATTTTGATCTCCTTTTTATTTGCTGTTTCAAAGCTGATTGGCTCAGTATCACCTAAACATAATAAGATATTGCTTATGATTTACATAGGGCCAGGTAAGTGGATTTCCAGTCTGGGCAAGCACTGTGTTTACCCTTGATGGCTTCTACCTCGCGTCGTTTGTAATGTATCCACCTCTTGAGACTGCAGAAAAGTGATTGAATATGCTCTCAGGAGCATGTACTTTGCTGTTGAGAATGCTTGAGCACACGGAATTAAAATCTCCCATCCACTGAGAGAGGCAATGATCATAATCGCTTTCGTTGTAAAGTAGTGTGTGTGTGTGTGTGTGTGTGTGCACGTTTATGCATGTATGATTTTTTCCCCTTGGTGATAAATTCAAATGTAAGTACATCTTCCAAAGGATTATTTTCTAACAAATCCTGAAAGGCATATAGTTGCTAATTAATTATATTTTCCCTCTTGATTCTATTTAGGATTTAGTATCATAACATATTAGAGTTTCTTCTTATTTCTCTATAAACTAGTACTTCTTAGTTATATTTTGGGTTACAGATTTTTTAAAATGATTTGATAAAGCTACCTCTACAGTTTTCATTTCTCTCTCTCACTCCTCCCCTCACATACATGCACAAACACTCATGAACACACATGCAAACTTAGGACATATAAATGAAAAATTCTGCATATAGTTGCAGGTATTTTATAACCACTCTTGAGCTCCAATATTATCTGAGTTTGCTATCTTTGCACAGGGAACTTGAAATGTTTGTTAGTAGAAGTTAAAGACAACCCCCTCCCATTTGCATTATTATTAACAGCTTTATATCTTCCCTACGGTGCTATTCGCAGACGGTGAGCAGCAAGGATACCAGCTTTCTCCTCCAGCAACCCCCAGGGGTAAGCTGCATTCAATACTATATTTTCTCGCATGTATACAATGAGTATTATCTTTCTGTAGTCTGCAATGGTGAAACTATCTTTCCCAACTCACAATTACTTTTTCAGGTTTGCACACATGATATTTGGTAAGATTGGTTATAAAAAATACATGGGTAACATCAGACATATTAATGAAAATAACACATACATATAGTACTTTGCTTATATGTTAATTTCCCAGTTGCAGTGAGTGAAATTACTTGGTAAAGCTCTTCTATCCATAGTCTGTATAACTCCCAACAAATGATTGGGTGGCATCATGAAATCGGGCTGAGAAGACTCTAAAGCCTTTCACCACCAAGAAGGAAAAACTAAGAGTGAAGCCCGTCCAAGATCCCAGCCTGGAGAGGAGCAGAGGAGCAGTGCTGAGACCTTGAGGCAGAGCAGAGAAGAAGCACCTGGACCATGCGACTTGCAGTGTGTGTGTGTGTGTGTGTGTGTGTGTGTGGTGTGTGTGTAACTTGC